GCTTATAAGAGTGTAAAATAAATTGTTTATTGTTTTATTTTTGACTAAATGCATTTCCTAGTTAAATTAATTGAATTATATAGGAAGAACAGCTATTTATTTGAGTTACAAGTTGGCTAAAGCTAGTAATCTATCTGGCAAATATAAAAAATAAAAAACGAAGAACAAAAGGCAGAGATAGTAGAATACTGAGTAAAAGGAAAGAGATCCAACAACACACACAGACTGCTTACCTTGTCAGGCTTCAGATCATCATACTGCTGTGGAGAGGGCGCCCCCACTCTACACTAGCATCATAAAGGTTACAGTAAAAGTCACTGCAGTAATTATTGCGACCTTGTGCTTCAACATGAACATCATCAAGACAGATCATAAGTTACAGAGAACTCGCACATGTTCACCGACTCTCCAGACTTCAGGGAACTGCCAAAGCCGTCTTACAATAATCATCACGAAGAAGGTGAGTGTTTATGTCAAATGATTGGTTGAATTATGGAGGTTTGGAACCCTGATCACTGAAGAGCTGTGCAGTTGCCCACATGCAAGTCCTCAAGAGGGGGACGCCCAGTATATGTATATAGTAAAAGAAGGATGATACTTACATCCTTATCCTGGCAACTTTTTCCAAAGCTCTGAGATTCATCTTGCTTTAGTCACCATATGATCACTATCATAATGGTGGGGTTTAATGAATAGATTAGCTTTAGGGTAACTTTACATCGTCTTCATGCATTTTTGTGTAATGAATGAAGAAATGAATCTCTAATGGTCACACCTAGTAGCTTCACTACAGAGGTTTCAAATTAGGTTTGAGGTGACAATAATAATAAGAATCATGTGTTGTGAAGGTTGAATGTAAGTTTTAATAAGAATAGTGTTATAAATTTTAGAGACAGCCAATCTGTGCACGCAGTATTCATGTTACTGAGCTCAAGTGTTGCATATAAAATGTGAACTACGTGAGAAACTGCAGTCCAAAACCTGTAATGTCAATTATAAGATTAAAAAAGCCACTTTACCTTGTGAGTGTCACGAAATTTACTAATTTCTCTGGAAATCAGGTCTCTCTTGTCCTCTTCAATGTCAATGGTGTTAATATCATCCTGTGAAGAAAAACACATAGAAGAAATAAAATACTAGTAAGAACATAATATTAAAATTTTATGTCAAAGTGATATGTTTATAATAAAAATAACTAAAGTGAATATGGCTGTACCTCTTCTTTCTTTTCCCTTTTTCTTTTTCGTCGTTGGGACTCTTCATCCTGAGAAGGTGCGTTAAGTTCTGCAGCATATTCCAGCATCAATCCATCAATAGCCTCTTTGACAAACTGGTCTCTCCTCTTTGTTTCCTCATCAAGAACCTCTTCTTCTTCATTGCCTCCTTCATCCATCTTTGTCGTCTGCCAATACAGGAAAATAAATACATAAATAAATTACAGCTTATTTATAACCAGCATTATTTATTTCCTATATCAAATTCCTACCCCATTGGCAGTCCTCTTCTTGGCCTTCCACTCATCCAACTGAGATTTAGTCTTTGCATCCACCTTTACTAGCAAGTTTTTGTCTCCAATTTCCAAGTCGTGAAGCAATCGCAGAGCTCGCAAGGTGGACTCTGGCTCTTTGTATTCACAAAAACCAAAAGCTGCAACAGAGAGTTCAGTGGCAATAAATGAAAAAGGTAGGATAATTTAGTTTTTAACAGGAAATTAAGAAGTGAGGAATAATAAATAGAACAGTTTTAAATTGTGAATTTCAAAGTGGAGAATTGTAACGGAGTTTTTTTTTTTTAAACCATGTTTCTTCTTTTTTCCCCACAAATAAAGCTGGGGATTGCATTCATTGTTTGTGGCAGGACAGAACCCAACTCTCAAATCTCTGGAAAAACAAACCCTAATCTTTTCAGTTTCCATTTTAGGTGTGATGCATTCATTTACATTAAAGTTTTCTTTAAATGCTCCTTTGTCTGTAGTGCCATTTTGTTCCTGAGAAACAATCAATTACAAGCAGGAAAGGCTGAATCTCACTGGGCCGCAACTGTTGGCGACTGGTTTGTCGTCTCCCTGGTGTCTCATAATGGTTGTGGGGTTCTCAATTTCCTCGCATGGTCGCACAGCTTCTCAGTTGAATTTTAAACATTAAAAAAATGTATGCAATGAAATTAAATACTCAAAATAGTCTGCATCATTGCAGGGAACCTGTCTCAAGAGCATTAAAGCTTTGACACCTGCATGAAAGCTCCCTTCTGACACAAAACATCCAAGGCTAATGTCTAGGTCTAAAAATCCATCCATCCATTATTTTCCACTTATTCCAAAGTCAGGTTGTGGGGGCAGCAGGTTGAACAGGGATGCCCAGACATCTCTTTCCACAGTAACCTCTTCCTGGAGGAATTCAAGGCGTTCCCAGGCCAACCGAGAGACAGTCTCTCCAGCGTGCCCTGGGTCTTCCCCAGGGTCTCCTACCAGTCAGACATGCCCGAAGCACCTCCCTAGGGAGGCACCCAGGGGGCATCCTTACCAGATGCTCGAACCACCTCAACTGGCTCCTCTCTACGAGGAGGAGCAGCGGTTCAACTCCGAGTCTCTCCTGGATAACTGACCTTCTCACCCTACCTCTAAGGGAGAGTCCAGCTACCTTGTGGAGGAAACTCATTTCAACCACCTGTATCAACAATCTCATTCTTTCAGTCACTACCCAGAGCTCATGACCATAGGGGAGGGGAGGAACGTAGACTGACCAGTAAACTTTGCCTTACAGCTCAGCTCCCCTTCACCACAATGGACTGGTACAAAGTCTGCAATACTGCAGACGCTGCACCAATTCATGTCAATCTCACGCTCCATTCTTCCCTCACTCGTGAACAAAACCCTGAGATACTTGAACTCCTCCACTTGAGGCAGAACTCATCTTTGATCTGGAGAGAGTAATCCACCCTTTTCCGATTGAAGACCATAGCCTCAGATTTGGAGGTGATGATTCTCATCCCAGTTGCTTCACAGTCGGCTGAGAACCGCTCCAGTGAGAGCTGAAGACCATGGCACAATGATGCCAACAGGACCACATCATCTGCAAAGAGCAGAGATGGAATCCTGAGGCTACCGAACCTGAATCCCTCCGCCCCCTGGCTGCGCAAAGAAATTCTGCCCATAAAAGTTATGAACATAATCTGTGACAACGTGCAGCCCTGGCAGAGACCAAATCCCACACTGAAGGGGTCCGACTTACTACCGGCAATGTGAACCAAACTCTCGAACCGCTTGTATAGGGACCGAACAGCCCATAACAATGGGCCCCCAATCCCATACTCATGGAGCACAGTCTAAAAATCAAACACGATGAATAATAATTATTGAACAAACTGGACCAAATCTGCTCATCCTCCTTTCAAAAGTGTATGGCAGTAAATTAACCCATAAATATGAGAGTAACTGCTAAGGTAGTTACAAAGCAAACTGAGGTGGGTACGATGCGGGTGGAGGTGGAAAACAAAATAATCTGCTTCACCGAAAGTGATATTTTGCAAACCGTATACACAAAAACTAGGCCATGTATTTCAAAAACTGGGTATGAAAAATATAGCCATGTGCCTCACTGGTTACTCATAGTAAGGACTCAATGAAACTGTAATAGCAAATTTGCCCATTTTTTCTGAGTCAACAACCAGTTTCCAACATTTGCAACCCAGTAAGATTCCACCTTAAGGGGTAAGCCATGTGGTTTTGTGACAACTAGTATCCCAGAATGCTGTTTATGACATACACCCAGCAACAGTTTAAGAGGAAGAACCATTTTTAAAGCCTTTTATAAACTTTTTTTTTTTATTTTGTTCCTTTTTGCATTTCTAGGACACTGAATTTAAAGTTAAATACAGTACAGTAAATTAAAAAGCTGATCACTCAATATTACAATCAACTGTTTTCCAGACCTACTGATTGTTGTACTGCATGCTAAGAATTACCTTGAAGCTTGCCAGAGGCTCCTTGGACTCTCTTCCAGCTCAAAACAATACCACATTTCTGTAAACATAGAACAAACTGGAATTAATTACAAGAATGCTTACATTACAATAAAACAAGAATATTTTTTCAAGGGTTATCAAAGGGATTTTAGCTCATATATGGTTTGTATATTTATTCCCAAAACTTCTTACCGCCAGCAACTGTCTGATCAGCATATCTGAAGCTTTTTCTGATATGTTCCCAACAAATACAGTGGTGGTGGGTCCACTACTCTCGTCATCTTTGGCTCGCATAGCAGAAATGTCCTTCCTTGGAATTGGAGGCTTACTGACAATTGGAACAGACTGAACCATGACAGGGGTAGGCGCCATGATGCCCATATGAACGGGGATCATTGGAGCTCCTGCAACAGTCAAACAAAATGCAAATCAAGTTAACAATAACTGTTTAAATTACCGCAATACATGAGTGATGGGGTTTTTGCTTTCAAACAATATTTTTTAGAATTTGATCATTCAATCTGAACATATAACTTACAGCCCTGTATAAAACATTCTAATTATCAACATTTAAATTATTGTTTGTAAAGAATTACGTGGGACCCATGGGTGCTTACCTGTGGGGAAACCAGCATACTGAGGAGGGATCCCAGGAGGGGGCAACAGCGGCCGGTTTAAATGAGGAGGGAAGGACATTCTGAAAATTACCGTGACCTGTAATGAAGACAAACCAAACCCATTAGTATCCTGAGCAAAATCTTAAAACATTTTAGTTAACACATCCACACATTAACAACTCAAAGTTAGAAAAATACAGTAAACAAAACGTGATAACATTAGTTTCTCATAGCAAGGGAAGAAGGAAAACACTTGAATTATGTCGGTAGATACAAACTATTAGTCTACTTATCTGAAACGTTGGCTGTACTTGGTGAAGTGGAATTCGCTAATTAAAGGTCAATAAGTCCAACGTTTCCACTAATAATAGTTTTTCAATAATGTATTGGCGAAAAGGCCAAAAACAAACAAGCAGCTAAGTTAGCTAAAGCTAGCACAGAGCACGCTACCCGGCACAGCTAATGGCTAATCTAATTCTAGTTCGAACTCACGTTACTAAACGAACAGAACTGACTTTGGCAGGCTAAACATGACTTCAAAGTGAATATAAAAACCGCCCATATATACGTACCACTTAACGGGGTCGCGTGCAAAATAAACGAATCACAGTAAAATAAAATAAAAATGTAACGATAGTGAAAGTATCGTAAATGTTCAGATTTAGCTCGCTAGCTGCTCGCGCGGGCCTTCGGACACATTGACGCAAGCGCATTACGCACCCAGAGTACAAGGGTACGCTTGATTTACATAGCGGGACGTGCCCACGGAATTATTTGCAGGACCTTTGTACTGTATACGATAACTAATGTATGTAACTCGAAAACAGACAGACAGACAGACAGACAGACAGATAGACAGATAGATAGATAGATAGATAGATAGATAGATAGATAGATAGATAGA